TCAAATGTCAGCCATGATTTTTCCAATGAACTACAGATTTAATATTTCCATGCAACTAGTGAATTCCTCCCCTGTGCAGGCTTGTAGAAACTTAAAACACATATTCCAAAACATGCCTTTTCATTTCCCACATCCTCTTGCAACTGCATTCTGTAGTTGATATATACATGTCTCTGATACTGAACTGTAAGTTTTTCCAGAAACTTTGGCATTTCACTTACCTTTGAACTCCCAAAACTTAGCTGACTGCCTGGCACAAAGTAGATTCTCAATAAATATTTGATAACTGAATGACCTAATGATGGAATGTTGTTTAAAAATATGCATTTGATATTAGTGCTTAAGAAATGCAGTAATGTAATAGCAAGCAGAGCTTAGGGTTTGGGGGTTTTAAATAAAAACCTCCTTTTAGTTAATTATGCCCAACATCAAATACCCCCTGTATTTTTCCTGAGTTGTCTTTGATGTACCTTTGACTTTATACAAGGGCAGTGCTAGAGGATTCTCTTATTTGACTTAGGTTTCCAAGGGATGCCAGAATGAAGGCAGACTCTGAGATATAGTTAGAAATTTGTGTCTGGAGCTTTTAGTAATAAATCAAAGTGAGAATGCAGTTTCTCAGTGGGTGGTGCTATTCGTGTCAGGTGTATAGCTAGTGATTTCAGTCAAGTAAGCAAGTCTGCCTACAAGCTTTAATGGATTTGAGGTCCAGCAGTTTGTCTGTTAAAGATTAGAGTAACTGGCAAAGACAATTTGTTAACCAGACTTTTGGCTCATTTTCCCTTTGAATTATTAAGCTAAACACATTTCCAATCCATTCAGCTGATGCAAGAGGGCTCTCTTAAGTCAAGACCAAGTCTTAAATCAACCTAGTTATCCTAGACTGCCCTCCTTCATTTCAGTGACATTAGTAAACATCTGTATTCCTGAAGCTAGATTTTTTTTTTCTCCTCTGTGGCACACATCTTACTAGGGCTAATGGGCTGGCAGCAATTTAAAATTTCTTGAGACTGGTTAACTTTGGGCAGGTGGAAAGATTGAAGATTGGTGAGGTTGTTTCAGCAAGCAAGCTGTAGTTTCTTGCCAAGCAGCAATGTAAGAACAAAAATTCTCCTTCATAATGTTGTAATGTTTCTGGTGGTTGTCCATGCCAAATTGACAAATGACAGTTGCAGTCCTTAAACCCATAAGATCATTAATTCTCGGTGTTGTTACCCAATGGATAATTATCTCTCAGTGCTCCCTGCCATTACCCCATGATTCTGATAATAATAGTCCCAGCAGTTTTCCCAAATTTCAGCATCTCCTGGCATGGACAGAAGGTACTCAGTGAAACCTATAATGAATGAATGAATGAATGAATGAATGAATGAATAGCAAGCTGTAGTTTGCCTTTGTCTATGCTTAAATTGGAGTAAACAAGCAGAGGAAGAATTCCTTTCTCCTTCTAAATGAACTGCTCATGTTCCTCTCAGCTACCTACCTTCTTTGAAAGTCTAGGGAAGACTGTCAGAACTTGCTGTGGCTTCTGTGCTTGCTCTCACTGTATTCTGTACTCAAGGCTCATGAACATTTCCTTTAATGCTTAAAGCAACCCATTGAGATGGCTACCATTACTTTAACTCCACACACTAACAAATCTAGATTACTAACTTAGTTTGATGGACCTCAGATTCTCTGTCCAAGATTACTTGCATTATGATAAAAGACTTGTCTAATTCCTATTCCTGGACATCTTTCATCTGGGAATACTCAAGTGTGCAAAACTGTACCTGTGTTGTTTTTTTCCTAAAGAGCTGTGCTAACTCTTTTACCATTTTGTTATGACGTTAGCATCATACTTTAGCTCTGATATCATCTCCTTGTTTTATAGAAATGGATTAAAGATGTTGTTCCCCTTGAATAAGAACTTTGAGGAAAGGATCTCAGAGATAAGTGTCCTGGGTAGAAAATAAATCACAAATTGAAGGCAAAGAGAAAGTAGAAGGTCGACTTAGAAGAGGAACAATATATTGGTAGGAAGCTGAATGGGAGGAGAGAGCCAGATACAAGGGTTATAATTCTGAGGGCTTAGAATATAGAAATGAGTAGATTTAGATAAACCAAGTGGATCTTAAAATCACATTATAGGAAGGATGTTTAGTTAGGTGGAATCATAATCTAAATAAGAAAATAAAATAATAAAAATAAAATAAGTAAGAATTATATAATTTTTAAGGTATTTGGGGATACTAGAGACTATTTGGAATTGATAACTCACAAACATCTTTTGAATTACCCTTCATTCAACCTCAGGAACTAGAAATAAGAAATCATCTATGAAGCATTGACTTTAAAAGAAGGGTTTGTAAAAGAAAAAGTGAGTAGAAGGGTAGCTGTGGTAGTCAACTTTATGAACCTGAAGAAGTCAGAACTCAGTATTTTAGAATGACAGTCCTAATTTTGATGCCACCAAAACAGTTTGCAGGTTTAAGAAATAGATCAAGAAAAGCCTGTGCGTGTGGGAAAGGTTGTTATTTTGATTCCTTTAGATAAACTGACTATATATGAGGGAGCAATGATCTCATGTGGTTTACCCATAAGAAATTCCAGGTAATGAAAACAGTTGAGCAGGATTACTTATATAGGAAACCAAATTTGGTCCTGGAAAAAAGTGCAGAAGTTAGTGCTTATTGGTTAATATATAGTTCAGTGGATATTTATTAAATAAATCTTGGCTCTGTGCTAAACTGGATTACTTCAGTCTGACAATTTTGTTATCGGCATACTCTATTACATTCTTCAAAATGCATTTAATTGGTTTTCTTGAAACAATCTCTGGCTTCTCATCTAAACAATCAAACATAATTTTTGAAAAATGTCACATTCCAAAGAATAAACATAGAAACTGCCAACCCTGAACTCCTCTATTCAAACGGCAGTCTTATAAGGTTAAAACGCAGAAATAGACCAAGAGACAGTTTTCCTCAGGGTCTTGGGAAGTGGCCAGATGAGTGTTTACAGTCTTCGTATTTGCTGATGTTCTATTTTGCTTGTGTACATTCTTAGCTGTTTCCCCCTACGCCTTTTTTCCAAGTTAGATTCTTCTCTCTTCTACCCGAGCTGAGGTACCCACTACTTGCTTTTCTATTGCTGATTCCAAGCATGATAAGGTTAGCGGACACAAGGCTATTTATGGTGTGGTATTATCTTAATTTAACTTACTGCTTTAACTAACTGCCACTATTTATTTCTCCAATGTGCTGAAATAGCTAAATGTACTTGATAAACATGTTGGGGCAGGGGCGAGAAATTAAATGTCCCTGAGCATCACTTTGGTATTGATCCATTAGTTACTCTGGTCTCCCAGAAAAAATGAAGGGGACACTGTCAAAGCCTCTCTAGTGACTGAGGTGTCACTAGAAGTAAACACCACCCCTCTCCATTAATGTAGTCATCCCCAGAACTGTCGTCCATTTCCAGATGGTTAAACAAGAAACAGGAATCTCTTTGTAGAAAGATTTCAGGGGTTTTTTTGTTAATAGAAAAACTGACCGATACAGAACTCTATCCTCTTTTGGATTTCACTCCATAACCATTAAATGAATGTGGACTGGTATTTTTCAGGGGTAAAGGAATACACAGATATGAAGAGTTCTTATGCCTACCATGATAATTTACATTTTCTTTCTGTTTCTGTGAGTACACCAATAACTCACAAACATTAATCTGTAGAAAAATCTGATGAACGATAGTTTATATGAGCAGAAATCCTACAATTGGGGTGGAGCTACCTTAGAAAGTTAGATCAGCAATAGTGGGAAGAGGGGCATGCTGAACAGTCAACTCAGATAGCTTTGCTGGAAGTTACATGGGATGAACCATACAGCTGGGATTATCGCTCCTTCTTCCAGTGAGGATAAAGAACTACAGAAGTATTGCTGATGACAGAAATATAATGAATATATTTATGTTATAAAATATGTGTATTTTATATATATTAATATGTCACCCTGATACTGTCCTCATTGGTTGCCAAGAGGCAGTCTAATGAGCTCTCAGAAATATGGCCATAAGTAGCCTCAGTGGAACATAATTTTATCAGACAGTACAGTTTCCACATTGTTAGCCATTTATGGAATGAATATGTGTAACCAAAGGAAAATGGCTGCAAATGAATCTGCCTTTAATCTAAACCTTTCATGGGTCAGGGGATTTTTAAAGTGTGTATCCCAAGAGGTGAGATTGCAACTGAAGATGATTTCGACAGTATTTTCTTCTTGGTGGGGAAGAAACAGAAATCTCACCCCCCACAGGCCTGTGCTAATGTGTTAACATACTGAACCAAAAGGCTATGAGGGAGAATATAATGGAAATTACCTTTTTGGTTTATTTCCAGGTGCGTAAAAGTGGCACTGTTTTCTATCTCCTGTATGAAAGTAACACTACTGGACTAATGATAGCCGGGCAGGTGCATACTACTGTATTTTTAATTGCACTGACTGTTTCTATTTATGCATTAAACTTCCCCACACATCCCCCAACCTCCCCCACCGCCACACACACACACACACACACACACACAGACACACACACACACACGCACACACACAAAGTCCTCTTTGGGATCCAAGGTATGCATTTCCATGACAGCTGGCTGAAGTTAAGATGGTGACACTGGCCATGGAATGCATCCACACAGGCTAGTTGGCCATGGGGGGATTGACCCTGGGACACTGGCATCACTAACATCAGATCCTAACCATTTAAGTTCACAGCCCATAGTCCCATTCTGACATTGGGCACTCTCACCATGCCTCTCAATGAGATGGTCTCCTGTTCCATTCGTGAACATTATACGATGATGCTGATTTCTGTTCTGTTCATGGAAGAGATATACATATAGATAGGTGACCAATATTTTTTATACAAAATCTACTGTTACATTAAGGCATTTAAATAATTTAAGTGAACAAAAAATACAAAGCATCAATTTCTTATACTTTTTAATTAATTTTCAGGTCCCGTGGATGTCAGTATTCTAGCTAAATGTAATCCCTGCTTATCAAACCCATGTAAAAACGATGGCACCTGTAACAGTGATCCAGTTGACTTTTATCGCTGTACCTGTCCCTATGGTTTCAAGGTCAGTAGAAGCTTTTGAGGGAGCCTGGATCTGAAAACATAGCTTTCTTTGGTGGGTCCTCATTATTCTGTTGTGTTTTCTCTCTGTACTGAGATCTCCTTTATTTACACTTGACTTTACTTGGCCATTCCTTCTCTAGGGACAGGACTGTGATGTCCCAATTCATGCATGCATCAGTAACCCATGTCAACATGGAGGAACTTGCCACTTAAAGGAAGGAGAAAAAGATGGATTCTGGTAGGTCATTAGTCTATAATATTCTGTCTGAAGCATTGGGGCAAGAATAACTAAGTAAACATTCATGTTCCTTTTCAAATCAAAAGGTGTTATTCTTAAAAGAAGCCAGAAATTTATTCATAAGGACAATATGTATTAGTCCTTCTCAGAGATATTGTAATATGAAAAACAAGACATTACAGTATTCTCAGTTCAGGATGCTATAAAATCAAGAAATTTTTAAAACATGCATGTGCGTGCTTATGATTCATACACTCAGATTAGGTCAAGACAAAGTAGTAGCTCTGTTATGCTAATTAATAGCCAGTAGTCTCCTCTTCAAGTCATATATTCATCTGTTGCTTTGTGTATTGCTTTAACAGACAGTGTGTAATGATAAGATGTAGGTCCCACTGAAAGAGACAATTAATGATTTATTTCCAGGCCACAAAATGAGTAGACAAACATGCTGTGAACATTTTTAATCTGGAGTTATTTAATCATATGGTACAACTACTTCAGATGTACTTCATGAATTATGAAACAGAGTTCTTATAATGACGGTAATAATTTCACATAAGAATGTTAATCTGCTACAAAGCTTGTTGGAAATACCACTTTTTATAATTATTCTTCGTTTCTGCATTCTGTTCTGAAATGGTCTCTTTTTCAGTAAGACTACTCAAAGATTATTTTGATACCTATCAAGGTCAAGTGTACAATGTGTTATTGTCATGGTAAAATTGTATCTGTTGAGACTTAACGAGAACGTTTACATTTTATAATGACAAGGAAGATGTAATTTTAGTTTCATACTTCTTTTTTTGTTTTGAGACATGGAAGACAGTATAGTTAGGGTAGGAGGTATTGTAATTTTTTAAGTCAGAACCAGTTCCTCCTTATTTATGAGCAGAGAAGCATGAGTCATTTTATTAGAGCACAAGGTGAGATTAAGATAGCTAGAGCTGTAAGCTTTGCTTGTGTTTTAGACCTGCCAATACATTGGATTTATTGACTTAAAAGACCACGGAGCCATTTGCCCTCTTGCAGCCAGCAAAAATTTTCTTTTTCAAATTGTTTCTGATTTAGGGGATACTACCTTAAATTCATGCTTACTACATGTCATTTAAAAGCATTTTAAAGTTCAATTTCTTACAGTTAAAACCTCTGTAGTTGATGATTGTGTTTAGGTTTTTTCAATTTTTGGACCATATGGCTTTAAAATGCAACATGAACATGGGGGTTTTTTTTGCCTTTTCTCCCCCTGGTGTTCAGGTGTATTTGTGCTGATGGATTTGAAGGAGAAAATTGTGAAGTCAATATTGACGACTGTGAAGATAATGACTGTGAAAATAACTCTACATGTGTGGATGGAATTAATAACTACACATGCCTTTGTCCACCTGAGTACACAGGTAGGAAGAGTAGGAAATTCTGTGCCATCGATAATGTATCTGTTTGAAAGCATCACTGGCAATGTGCTGTATATGTGTAGTAAGCCATTGTATTATTCAATAACTGGTAGGTGTTTTGAAAATTAGATGTAATGTGAATAACAGAGAGTTAAGAGGGTTTCAGCCAACCAAATGAAAGACCAAGCAGGCATCTACATAAAGTCATGCTATCCAGCTGAAAAAGAAGTTATCATTCTGAAGCTTTTCATCACAGGGTTGCATAACATTTTTCATGCAAAGAATTTGTCCTGTGCAAACCAACCCACCAATACACAGATGAAAAGGGGGACCTATTTTTCACATAGTGGAAACATAACTAAGCATTTGAGATTACTTGTGTCCATATGTGTTTCTTCAGTAGTGAGTGTTTTCCTCTAATAACTCATGTCCTTCAAAATAAAATGTAATCAGGAAGATACTAAGCACTTCGGATAATCATATAATTATCACCTTTTTTTCTGACATTTTGTATCTGGGGGTGACAAATTTCCTAAGTCTTTCTGAGCTGGTAAACTTCCCTGCATAAACCAATTTGCTGTAAAGGCCATGTCAAGTTTAGACCTCCTGTTATGTCAGAATATCTGTTTTGATTGATTTTGAGGGCTATGAATAAGAAGCAGAATAGTTACAATCTTGTTTCTGTAATAAACCACTTCATTTTACAGTTGATAGAGAAAAGGAGAATGTTACACATTTTATTTGTAAGAAAAGGTGGGGAAGTAGATTCTGTCACTCTATTCAAAATTACCATTTTCATTTTCATGGGTATTTTTCCTTAACCATATATTTCCTTACAATTTTAATACATAGTTAAGAATATCAGAGGGTAAAATAACTATGTAGATGACTGAGGTTAACATCTCTAAACATGAAAAGATGAGAGCACATCTGTATGATTCACTTTCCCAGGGATTTGTCAGAATAGCATTGAAATTTAATCTTTCATGGAATACTCAAACTTTGCATTTTAATAACTACTTTTCTTGGTAGGAAAATGCTAGGTAAAATAAAAGTGTTCTGTTTTGACATCCCAGATCTGTTTGAGTGCCTTCAAACCTGTCTTTTCCATGATACGTTTTTTTTTTTTTTTACACCAGTGAAGCATATAATGTGATATATTGAGTTTCTAGGAGAAATGTGAACATGTTGTATCATAATCGTTCTATTACGTATATGCAGCCCTTGGACCCCTTAGTGGCTAGTTTGAATTCCTTGATATTGTGCATTAATAAAGGATAGCAAGTATATTCAATAGGTACCCATCCTAAAACGGTTGGGAAGTGTAAGTGCTACATAGCTTTCACATTCACACTAATATTACTTGTGTCACACCTCAGACATTTGCCACTGGCCTGAACGCACAGATCCTGGAGCCCTTGGAGCTACCCTGAGAATTGTTGGCTGAGCTAAGTTAGACTTGTACAAGAAACCCAACGTTTGCACTAAAATCTGTTACCTAGTACCTTCTTAGGATGGAATAATTCTGTTTGCCGATCATTGTCCTAATCATTATCGAAAGGGCTTAATTCACTTAATTTTGGAAGCCTCTTTAAACCTACACCCACACTGACCTGGATAAATTGGACCCAAGCATTTCAAGCACGCTTAGGTTAGCCAATGAGCTCCTGAGCACAGAAACCAAGAATTTATGCATATCCCCTGATGAAACCCTAGGCTTGAAAGCACTGCGTATTTAGTTCTTACACACCTTTTTTATGATAATCTACATCAGGTGGCAGACTCTTCTCAGTTGATTTGGAGGGGTGCACCTGCTTCGGCTTTAGATTTGCTATATGTTATTCCTAATCCATTTCTTTTGAGTCTTATCTTACCTTCTCTCCCTTCATTTTCCAAGCTTCCTTCTAGTAGCTGCTCCTCTTGAACACATTTTCTCCATCCCGGGTGATTCAGTTCAATGGCCCTCCCTCTGAGAAGTATCATGAAGCCTCATTTCCTTCTGTCAGATCTTTGAAACATATCAAAAAACCCTGAGGCTTAGCAAAACCACTTTTTAACCAAAATACGACATCTATAAAAGCCATCATGTGGGGATCTGCCATGACTATCTGTCCAGAGCCATTTGGCTCTCAACAAGAACTGAGGCTGACATGTCTTTAGTCATAGCTATTGCAAATACCGGTTTGCCTTAATTTGGGCAAAGGAGAAACAAAAACATTGAACTCAGTAGCAAGCTCACAGCATACAATACATGAAGATACTACCACTGTAACTGGGCTGGGTCTCGTGGGCAACAAAGAACTTGACAATTTGGCATCAGAGCAAATATCTATACAACGCACATTTGTAACCCATCCATTAGCTGTAGTATTTTTGTTCATATGTGAAATGAGCTCATTTACAAAATATCAAGCAACCATCTGCAGATTTTGAAATCAGCGGCGCATGAGTGGCCTTTAATTATGGGAAAGCATAAATTGGACTCTAGAGTTTCATATCATGCTTCATCCAAGGCTGTAGTGAGGGAGGATTTTTTTTTTTTTTATATAATGTGGCTGTATTGTTTTAGATTTAAGATTGGAATCTGATTAATGAGTAGGAGACCTGGGAAAAGAAACCCCTGCTGTGCTCAGGGAATATAATCATGTTATCATTGCTTAAAAATCACTCAAGTCATAAGTTGCTTTTCTGTTTGGAGATGTTTTACTCTATACTGCCAAAGGCAAACAATGAGAAAGGGAACTGTTTAGCAGGAACAAATAAAACTTTACGGGAAGAGGTTGTAAATTATTATGGTGAAAGGTTTTATATTTGGCACCCATGTCAAGAGTCAGAAATGGACATAATGTTAACAGAGAAAATTCAGAGATCTGAAAGCAGTCCGACAGAAACCTCATGATGTGATAGGCAGGCTATAAAACGGAGCTAAAAATACTCAAAACAAAATGAACCACCATTGGGAAATTAAATTTATTTAAACCCTTGTAACCAAAACATCACAGTAAAAAGTTACTGATTTATTAAAGGAGAAAACTCGCTATTCTTTCCTGCGGCAGGGATTGACAACATCAATTTCAAGGGTCAATATTGTTTTATATTATCTAATCCTTGCTATGCCTTCCCCACCCGAGCTATCAAAACTACTCTCTTCTACCTAACCCAACCCATTATCTGTCCTTCTGGTTGCATAATATGACTGTTGGTTGCTAGTATTTTTCAGATAAGATTAATTTTTGGAAAATTTAATTCACTGTGATTTTAAATTAACCTTACTGTGTTAAGGATTCAGGAAGTAGGACTCTGGAATTATTACACAAATAATTTAAAAATTCACTCTAGGGTTTTAATTTTAGCTTGCAAGATTATTTTTGTTTTTGTTTTTAATCATTAGTATATCCTTCCCAAAAACAGCACATATCTTGGAGCTATATTTTTAAGGAATCCCTCAAATTAAGCTCAAAACCTATAGAAGTGAAAATTGTAAATATGGCATCCCTGCAATGTTGACAAACTTGACACCTATTCTGAAGCTCTGGTATGAACTTTAGGTGTTGAATCGAAAAATATGTTTTTGCAAGTTTCACAAGAGAGTCAGAACCCTGGATCAACTCTGTCATGATGATGTTTCCTAACACTCTTCTCGTGGGACCATATACAAAGATGACACAAAATTGATCACAGGATAAACCACAGTAGTATTAATGGGTTTATATAAATTGAGTGAATGAAAGCTTCCATACAAATTGGGCATGTAAAGACTTAGAATGTATTTGGTCAAAAATATCCAGACCATTTTAGTTTTTCCATTTTGTACCATTATTCCTTTGTTTTCCAAATCTCCAACACCCACACACAAACCATGAAGTGCACATCTTAAAATGTAGAGCTGCTGGTGGGTAAATGAACTGATTTAGACACGGACCTCTGGCTCCCTGTGATGGCGTTTACCTTTTGCCTCATTTACTCCATGTTTGTGTGTCTGGCCCGGCTGTAGGTAAGAAATCTAAGGCTTGCTTCAGTTTGCTCTCACCCTTGGCTTCTCTGTTGTTACTGCTGCGCATTGGCTTCGTGTGCTCCGCTGTTGTACTGCAATGTAAAAAGTCTTTTGTCTCTTCTGTCTTTGTCGCTGCCAGCTGATAATCTGAATGAGGTGGAAAAAGGTTAGTTGCCTTTTAAGTCTATTATGATTTTCATTTTAGTTTCCCTCTTTCTTTTAAAGCTACATAGATTTCATTGTGTGTACGTGGTAAAAGGAATGTTGGCAAAATCTGAAATCAATATGTCAAGTCAGGCATTTGGATCCTTGACATATCGTTAGCTATGCCAAACACTATAAAAAGGGCATCTGAAGTGCACACTATCAATTTCTAGAAATCTATGAAAGAAATTCTCTGAGTGGGAAGAAGGGGTGGCTAAAAAGAAGGACTAATACTTTATACTTCCTACTTGTTTGTATGCTTTAAAGATATCACAAACAGGAATTACTTTTACAATGAAAACCATAGGTCAACAGTATAGTTTTAAGATAGAAAAATTTTTAAATAGTGGGAATTTTCCTATAACTCTAAACTAACATCTTTAGTAATTTGAATCATGGAAAATATTGGAAGATGTATATATTTATTAAAACCTTTTATAAAATAAGTAATGACAAAGCCAAAGAGGTTGATTTTTAGAATCACATTGTCGAAACATCATAGGATAGCATGAGTATTAGGCACTATTTTCAAATCATATAAAGAACCATATCTAGTCATTGACATCAACATGGTCTATAGAGCTCCCCAAAAACATCAGGGCCCAGGAAAGGAAGTCCTAGAGTAATTACAGTGATAGGCATTTCTGGGGAATTGTCATGAAACCTTTGTGAAATTCCATCTTAAAGATTCAGAGTTATTACGAATAACATTGGATTTTTGCTTATTCAGCTGACCAGACATCTGCATGTGTCATGCGCAGGCACGGCATCCTACGAGAAGCACAAGATGTGCTTGTCTTGACAT